GGTTTGCTGGAATCAACTGGCGGACACAACGATTACCGGCATGATTGAATTTAACCAAGATCATGCCTACACATTCTACTACAGAGCATATCTGGTCTGTCCTCCCCTGGTCCTCTCATCTCTCTCCTCCGCGTTGCCTTGCTTCATTCTTTTCTCTTGCTACCGCAATATCCCCTAACCTAACCTAACCTTCACTCGACGCCACGTCTGCACTTCTATTTTGGGTTCACGTTCTTCATCAATTAGCGCGCTTTTCCACAATGCATTGCACCATCTTATTCAATCACTTATACTCACAGCTGCAGACCCTCGTGACAACTAACAACCTCCACTGCTACCACCACCGTCACTGCTTTACTATGCTCTGCTCTTCTCAACCCTGCTCTCCCCTTGCCTAATTCGGTTGAACTTCATCCATCTATTTATTCATCCATCCCATATCCACCCCTTTAACTCCCTGTTGGCCATTACACATTAGCGAACACCGGTGAGGGGAAGTCAGTCAAGCAGCACACGGAATGGCATCCATTCAGCACTTTGATATGATGTGAAAAAGCTTTGTGATTCCAGAGTCAGGTCGAGCAATGCAACTCCAAATAACTCCATGTGATATTTAGTAGGCATTTCACGGAGCCTCATTGGCGCAGATTGCTCTGCCACTCACCCGATAAGTCTGTCCATATACTACTCATTACTGTCAAAGTAGTAGCAACTGGGCCCCATTACCCATTCAACTTTGATTAAGTGCGTTCGGCGTTTCGATCCGCTATGAAACCCCTCTCTATGTGATTTAAGCTTCCCTTTCTGACCAACAATATTTTCTCATTCCTATGATCTACTACTTCACCCACCACGTCTGGTGAATGTCCTCTCCCCTAGGCAGTCGATGGTCCATTGTGAAAGTCCAGATGTCTACTTCCCAGGTATCAGAGCAGTGAAGCTTTCATCTTATCTGTGCGAAACGTGACCATCTTAGTCCATCCTTCGATTGACTATGCTGACAACGAAAGGCAGATCGGTTGATGCTTTGAGGTATCTCTTTGGACTCATCACTCATCACAGTTTACTTTGTGTGATTAAACTTTAAGAAATGTAATATCAACGACCCACCGAAAGGAAAAAACCATTGAGCTTAAGTGCTCGCCTCACCCAAAAGTACATCAACAAATAGCCTGCTCATTGCTTGAAGTGCATTTCTGGGCCTCACGTGCCCCAAAATTCAACATCTCTTCAAAAGCGACTTTTAAATGAGTTTGATATCTACCCCGAGGCACCATTCACACAAACGCCCACAAGAGGTAGATAGGGTGAATATAAGTTTTTTCATGCATTCAATTGCATATGTTTGTCTTCCACATTTACTGCTCCATCCGTGCGGGCTTCAACCCTTCCACGCATCACCAAAGAAGAGAGACATTTTATTTGCTAGGGTCAAAGGGTGGCTTGCTTACCTACCTTCAGCTGGAGTTACTTTGGTTGAAGGCATATCGAAGGGCAGACAGACTGCTCATCTAGTCGAAGCGACCGAGCTCAATGACATTGTCGTGAGACCTGAAGCGAAGGAGACTGTGAAGGCCTGTTTTATATTGCTGTCTAACAAAGGGAGGAGATATGAGTAAAGGATAGGTGGAAAGGAGATCAACCAATGAGGAAATTTTGCCTAAAACGGAGAAAGAAAAGACAACCAATAGCCTTTGTATTACATTAAAAATGCGGTAGAAATGGCCAATAAAAGTGATGTAGCAGTTCTCATTAATAAAAACGGGGAGTGCAGTCTTCTGTAGCAAAAAAGATGTCTGGTTCTCTTCCCGTGCTATCTATTGTCTTATAAAACAGATTTAGTCTCCTTCCAAACCAGTAGCTGCGGAGACAGCTGACTTTTTGGCATCCTCGTTGCTGCTGTTGTGGCCGAGCAATGGAAGATGCGCTCAGTCACAGATCGAACCGAATCACTCAGGGCAGGGGTAGATACATCATGTAGAGATGGAAAAGAAGGGGACTCTCTTTCTCTGCATCAAGAGTCATCAAGGGGGATTGAGTTGGGACATTTCACCACTGAGCTAGGCAAACAAAAGTGGAGGAGCTTGTAGTACGCTGATGCATCAATTGGTTGACACACTTGACACCTGACACATAAGTGTAGGGGAAGTGGAGGAACATAATGGGTAAGTGTACACCTCTCACCTACCTGAAGAAGGAAGGGGAACCAGTGAGCAGCAGAGGCTACTGAGTTGTCCATCCCTTCTTGTGTTCATGAAGAAGTAAGAGGTGTGGCCATGAGGTGAATTGCTGACTGATTTTTAGTGGGAAATAGTTCTCGTATGGCGTTTTTGATGACCAACAAGCGGTACAAAAGTTTTTTTTTACTGTGAATCGTTCCGTCTACTTATGAAAGGTCAAATTTCAGTTTTGAGTGAGACTGGCGGTGAGGTAGAACGGAATGGAGTGCTATGGCTTAAGCGCGCTGTGTGGGTTGTAGCCTCCGAGGCGTTTACATCGAACCACTCTAGTGACTGACTGACCTGCCAGTTTGCAAGTTTATCGTTTGAACTTCCGCTATTTGTGTCAGTCTATCCTCCGTCAAAAAGGTGGCGTGAAGTAGGTACTAGTGGCGGTGAAACCTGTGCAATCGAAGTAAGGAGGGGACACAAGCAATATCCCCTACATTGCAACGATTTCCAAACTCCTGAATTAATAGCTGACTGAGGAGACGTGCCAACTTCGTCGGTTATTGTAAAGCGTCAGTAGGCGTACAAAATTGCCATCGCCTCGTAATTCTCTCCCTCCGTTCGCGTGTGTCTGAGCATGCACGCGCACGACGTGTGACACCACCAGGGGTAGTAGAAACAAACAGTTGTAAGATGTGGTCACCCTCTCAACCAGAGTCGGTACAAACCACCGCCCTCCCTACAGCTGCGTGCTGAGTGTGTTCCTCACCAGTGAGCAGTGAAGCCGAGAGTGGCACTACACTCGAGGCGAGGTGTCACCTCCACCTCCCTTGGTGGGTGTGATGCCAGCATCTCCACGTCATCCCTCCCAACAGTCCTCCATCCTACTTCCAGACAGGTGTGTGTGTGCGTGTGTGTGTGGTGGTTGGCACCCAACACTGCTTCACACATTAAACTGTACAGTCTCACCGCACATCTCTCTGTGTGTGCGTGTGTTTGTGTGTGTGTCCTAACCAAAGGTGATGTGGCCTCTTCTCGACTATCGACAGGTGAGACTTGATGGTGCGTTAAGTGCTCTGGGACCACCACTTATGGGAGTAGGGAGAAAACCGTGAAATCTCCTCCTACGTACACCTTTGACACTTTCTAATTGACTGTCTGAGCCACTTGCCCAATCTGTTGTTTGAGGTAATACCCACACCTACAATCTCTCTGCCTGCCCACCTATCTCGCCAAACGCCTGTCTGTCTGTCTGTCTGTCTGTCTGTCTGTCCGTCTGTCGTCATGTCTCTTTGTTTGTCCACCTCTCCCAACATTGATCAGGGGGCATTGAGGATGCCAACACCATGTGAGATGGCAGCAGAAGCGGCAAATGCGCAAAACACTGCTCCATATTTGAAGGCGGCAAATTCGGTGCCTCGGTTATCAGAGGGTACGTGGAAGAGATGAGGGTGGGCAGTTTGAGGCACATCAACACAGCAACAACTGTCATCTGAGTGCGCTGAGACCACCCATGTGGCAGAATTGAAGGTGATTTAGTGGAAAAGGTGGTCTCACCACCACCACCATCACCACCACCACAACAATAACAAGAAGACGAACAAAAGAGAGAACAACAACATTCCTCACGTGTTATGGTAGTGCTAGTAGTAAGAATGCAATCAGTGAAAGGTGGATGGGAAGACTCAGCATTTGAGTAGTCAAACCACTCACTCTCTTACTCACTTGCTCACTCATTCACTCATTCGCTCACTCACTCACTTACTCAAGCACAGTCACGTGAATTGACAACAACCTGACAACTGCAGTCAATCGCCAAGCCAATTTCACTCTCATTTGCTTGTTCAGTGGATGCGAGGCCATAAGTGAGAAGGAGGGAAGAAGGAAGGAATGGAGTGTCAGGATTCTCTGCCAGAGGAGCATGTGCCAAACCATTTCAGGTACCTCCTATCCTCTCAGTGACGCAAGGCGAGGGGTGAGAAAGGAAGGTGGGTGATGTCAGAGGTGTAGGCTGGTGAATGAGGTAGGCGTGAGAGGAGCATTGGCAACACGACACAAGTGCAGATGCAGCACTTTCCTCCTCTGCCTACGGGGTAATGCAATTACCACAGACTGCAAACCACAACACAAACTCCACCACAGAGCACACCACACACACTGACGACGAGGTGTGTGTGTGTGTGTGTGTGTGTGTGTGTGTGTGTGTGTGTGTGTGTGTGTGTGTGTGTGTGTGTGTGTGTGTGTGTGTGTGTGTGTGTGTGTGTGTGTGTGTGTGTGTGTGTGTGTGTGTGTGTGTGTGTGTGTGTGTGTGTGTGTGT